AGCTATCCAATGCGTTGTGATTGGCCGAATACCTCAAGCGTGTGACGGAAATGTTACGCCCTTACCATACTGTGATGCCGTCTCCCGGGTGAGCGGAGGCCGGCGGCTAGATTGAGCAGCGGCTGGCGGCTAGAGTGAGCGGAGGCCGGAGGGCTTGCGGCAACCACATGTGACGACTCCGGGCTGGACTCCGCTTCGTCCACGGTGAAAGCCGATCAGAACGAGCCGTTTTAGGTAGGCGTGGCTGACTCTTAAATTTTATAAAGAATATCTCTTTGGATTTGAGACTTTAGTCTTTGCAACTTTACAGATCTTCTTTATGCACCAAGAGCTTGTAACACTCCAAAGAGAAAGGAAAAATTGAAATCGCATCATATGACCCCTTTAAATGTTTTTGAAAAAAGGGTCTTATTCTCACCAAGTCTGAATGAACATTAAAAACTGCAGTATTGTGGAATATTATTCCAAATTAAAATAACTATGTTCTATTTGAATATATTTTGAAATGTAATTTATTTCTGTGATCAAAGCTGAATTTTCAGCAGCATTACTCCAGTCTTCCGTGTCACATGATCCTTCAGAAATCATTCTGATTTGCTGATTTGCAAGAAATGTATTATTATTACCAATGCTGCAAACAGTTGTGGTGTTTAATATTTTTGTAAAAACTGTAATACATTTAATTTTTCAGGATTCTTTGATGAATAGCAAGTTCAAAAGTACAGCGTTTATATGAAATAGAAATCTTTTATAAATGTCTTCACTGTCACTTTTAATAAATTTAATGTGTCCTTGCTGAATAAAAGTATTAATTACATTTTTTTTTTTTTTTTAAATATGAAATGCCGTGATAAAAATATTACATTTTTAAAAACAATAATCTAAACAAAGAGTAAAGCAATCACAAATAATTTTATTTTTATTATGTGAACATTATTGATATATTTTGTTACACATATTATGACTGTCCCACAGTTGTGCCATCATTTCCAACAAAAGCAACAATTTTTCCACTAATAATTCTTTAAAGTGCTCATAGTTGATGAAACGCCAAGATAATGTTAGATTCAGACTTAGCAGATGCTGTTTTACAAAATCAAGTGAAATGTTATTTCTGGATCTACATGTATGTGCAGCTACTAAGAATGACATGATCAAACTCATTTGTCAAGTCAAGTCTGCTTTATTGTCAATTCTTCCACATGTACAGCACATACACACAGAATTGAAATTGCGTTACTCTCAGACCCTTGGTGCATACAGATAACACTAACAGTAGAACATAAATACAGATAGATACAGATTAAATATAAAATACAACTATACAACTATACAAATCAGGTAAAAATTTAAAAAAATATATAAAGCAGCACAATCATACTCGGATCTAAATGTTGGATCCTGATGAAAGATTTAACCTGTCCCATGTCTCTGTTATGTCTTGTCTCCACAGACAAACAACACTAGCCGTGTATCTGATGTCGCTTGTGGGTTTGGTGCTTTATGCTTTTACCTTGGATCTGGGTCATTTGTGGGTGGTCTTCATCACAGCAGGAACCCTCGGGTACAAGAAGAGTTCAAATGGAAAACTTCTTAATTTTTTTCTTTCTTGTTGTTGTTATAGTTTGTTTCGGTTTTGTTTTCTAATATATGTGTTACAGTAAAACCCCTCTCTCTCTCTCTCTCGCTCTGTCTACATATATATATATATATATATATATATATATATATATTACTTTTGTGAAAAGCGTTTTTTCTGTGACACATAAA